ATATCTTATTTCCACGGGTGCCTTTACTAGTAGGTGATCCGATCCACATTCTGCCCCTCTCCAAACTTTTATATCGTAGGGTCTTAAAGATGTCTCTTGTTTAACTACTATGTCTATAAGTGACTGCAGTTTTCTTGTCTTTTGAGTCTAGGCTTTTGTTGTTTTCAATATATTTGCCCAAGTTGTTTGTTCTAACAGTTGGTCGTTTTTCTTTCTTTTTTATGTGTTTCTATGTATGTATGTTATGTATGTGTGTATGTATGTATGTATGTATGTATGTTAAAAACAGATTCTACATACTAGAGAAAAAACTCTACATACGCACTTCACCTTCTAGATCATAATCATTCTTTTAATGACAAATTTCAAATACTTCACATCCAAAATAAAGGTTAAGCTATCTATTAGAATCTATGGAAATGAACAAATTAAAAAACACAGACATAATTCTGAATGATCAATTCGAGACAAACAGTTTTCCCCTCCTTAAGAGCGCAGGCGCAAAATTTCGGGCCAGTGCTTTGAAAACTAATAAATATTTTTGAAAAATTAACCATTACATTATTACCGAGGTCCGAAACTCCCTTAGAATAAACAAAAAGTTTCTTTTGAATGAAAAGTTGAAATTAAAAATCACACTTAATTTTCTTTTCTTTTTCAGCCCTGTAACCTGCGAAAAGAAACATTATAGTACTTTTCAGGGACTTTCGGCCCTCAGTAATAATGTAATTCATTTACATTCACTTCCATTCTGCGTTTAAATTTTTCAAAAATATTTAAAAAGCATTGGCCCGAAATGTTGCGCCTAAGCTCTTAATATATTCAGTTAAAGACTATAAAGTGCAAACAGATACCAAAAATAGATCACTTAAGAAAGGTACTCTTTCGAAACCGCTGTAGAGATAAGATATAATAGATTTTGTAGAAGTTTTGAAATCAAACGTTTTCATTGTTTTATTGTTATATAAAATGAAAGAAGCCCAGTTTGGTTAAAAAAAGGTCGAAATATTTTTCGCAGATATCTGAAGCTTTCAAGACATAGGTGGGAGTTACTAGATGACGAATAGATGAAAAAGTACACGTATTTCTGCATTTTTTTTAAATAGTAATTTATGGTCACAATTTGATTTTTTGTCAATGAGTTTTTTCCCTTATATTTTACATAAACAATATTTATTTACATAAACAATATCATTTTTTATATCAAGAATCTCTTTATTTTCCCGTTTTTTAACCCTCTGTGGCTCAGTGGTAAGAGCGCCTACCTTTGAGCCTAAAGGTCGTGAGTTCGAATCTCACCTGGGTGGAGAAATTTTCGTTTATTAAAAATTAATAAATGAAAATAATTTCTATCCTTGTGCGATCGGTACTCACCGGAGGGACCGCAGACGTTCGGATACAATTAATTAGCGTCTCTTAGCAAAGACAATGACGTCGACTTTGCTAAGTATCAAGACAATTACTATACACACACACACTACACTAGGTACCTGACTGTAAAAATTCACTGTACCATGCCAATGACCATTAGCTGTCGGCGCATTAAACTCAATAAAAAAATTAAAATTGATAAATAAGTTACGGAGATATTTGCAAAAAAGCAGCTTTTTGCACTAATTTATACATTTTATTAATTTTTTTATTAACAAAGTAAAATGTTATTAATATATTTAAACATCGAGAAATTACCGTCTTTTAAATTTGTGCGAAATTTCCCCCCGATCGGTCAAATAGTTTAAAAGTTATTTAATTTATTTATCCCTGAGGCTAAATATTTAAACTACTGAACTTGCTCTATTAATGATGCTACACACATTTAGCATATTTCATAGGATTCTTTAAGAATTGAAACTATCTCAGAACTTAAACGCATATTACGTTTTCATCGAAATTATTTACAAAATAAACGTTTGAAAAAGGGGTATGTTTTTAACTTATAAACAGTTGGAATAACTTCTATATTTTTCAAGCTACAGACTTGTACGTACAACCATGGGATAGCTGCTAAAAAAAAAACTAAACTTCTAAAGTTAGGACTATTTTGACGAAGTTTTGAGGCGTGACAGCTGCTTCTCATCCCGCCTTTTTTACGCATATTAAGATATATTACCAGTTTTCTATTATTGGGACCGTGCAAGTTCGGAAGAGCGACACCTGGTGTCGTAAATCAGCAAAATTTACTGCGCTTTCATTTAAGATCGAGGTTACCGGATAACTGTCAAGGACGTAGCCCCAAAAAAGAATAAAAAGAAAAAGTAAGATTGAGGTTATGTCGGTCGGTATGTTATTAAAAGGTAAACGTTGTAGTGTAAATACAAATAAATATATTATTAAATTACAGCATTACTGTTAATATGGATGCAATAAATAAAACTGGATTTGAGAAAGTAAATCACCAAATAAGTATCACATCCAAGTACTTGCACGTCGCCAATATAGATAACTTTTCTCCTATTCACATGAGTACATATAAAATGTAGGGACACGAGGATGGTATACTCTGTGATCTTTGGAAATATTTAGATCTAAAAACATATATAGATGTGTTTACCGTCCTCGTACTGTACATATACCCATGATACTATGACTAACAAGATAGGATCTTCCTGTAGCACAAAATCGGTCGTGTTCGCGCATGCCGTCATTGGAGAGTAGAATTTGAATTCTTGTTAAAGTTAAATGGGATTTGTATGCATTCTGTGATGAAATTACTAGACGAAAATAAGTTAAGAGGTTTAATAATTACAATAATCGTACACATAAGGATATCCACAAACTATTTATTAAAGATTATTTATTGATACATACAAAAAACTGACATTTCGAACGTGCAACTCTCCAATGACGTCACGACTTATGCGCAATATCTTATCTTCTTAGTCATAGTATCATGCATATACCTATACACATTATATAAACATATAGATCATCAAAGTAGTAAATAATTATAATTAATATAAGGAATATAATAATATAATGTGTAAAAAATTACCTGAAATTGAATTTATAAAATATAATTTTCCGAGGTTTCCCATATTTCCCGGCCAGTGAAAACTATGTAGTTATTTATATTTCGACGAGCTACCACAGATTAAAAGAAAAAAGGCTTCTAGCTGCAATGAAAGCCGAGATAATGTAAATGTTTCCTACGTGTTTCAATTTGAAGTTACGATCTCGAAAAAAAAAACGGAGCAGAAACAGGTATCCCCTCCACTTTCCTATGTCGATCTTTCGAAAGTACACTTCATATAATTTATATAACGATGCACGGAATCGGCGTCATAGCCTGTGACGTCATATAATACCAACACGAAATATTTAGGGTTTAGGTGTTCTTTTTAGAATCACTTTACCGAGTACACTGGCATTACAGCCACCAGGCATATTTTGTTATATACGCGTAGAAATAATATTTAAAAATTTCTATTAATGTTAACTTAAAGAAATACACAATAATATGTTTCATTTAATTTGTATAAATCCATTATAAAGAGTTTTTATCAAGAACATTTGTTCGGAACACACTGTAACTGTAATCGAACGAAGGTAAAATTTTGGCATAAATTGGTAACACTTATTTGACAGTTGCGGTGTTGACACTTTTTGTACTTTATTATTTTGAATTTTAAAGTGAATACCTCTTGTTTTATATTTTTACCTATTTAATTAAATCTGTTCTTTTTAGAACAAAATTAGTGTGTTTTATTTCAAAAATGTCACGTAAGAAGTTAAATAGTCGTTGTAAAGAGATGGTAATACTTTTGCAATAATTATGTGACCTATTTGATTTAAAATGGAGTCTGGATTTTTTTATACTTTGGCAACTATGTCAACTTCGATTTCTGACGTAGATAATGACGTAAGTCGTTATCTAAATTAGATGAAGTTTACCTTCGTTTCGGAGGGCTGTAAATTTCGATAAGAGCTATAAGTTTCAATATAAAGTTTAGATTTTTAAGGATTTTAAGGTTTTTTTAATGTGAGTTTTTTACCAACTATCCAATTGTTTATAAGTAAAAAACATACCCCTTTTTCAAACGTTAATTTTGTAAATAATTTCGATGAAAACACAATATGCATTTAACTTCTGAGATAGTGTGTCTTAAAGAATCCTATTAAATTTGCTTAATGTGTCTAGCATCATTAATAAAGCAAGTTCAATAGTTTAAATATTTAGCCTCAGGAGGAAATTTCGCACAAATTTAAAAGACGTTGATTCCTCGATGTTCAAATCTATTAATAATATTTTATTTGTTAATAAAAATATGTATTAATAAAATTTATAATTTGCGTTTTTGCAAATATCTCTGTAAATTATTTATCAATTTTAATTTAAAAAACGGGAAAATAAAGATATTATTGATAAAAAAAATTGATGTAAATATAAAAAACTACGAGTACTTTTTCATCTATTCGTCATCTAGCAACCCCCACCTATGTCTTAAAAGCTTCAGATATTTGCCGTCAGGTAGAGCTGGAAGTCAAAATGAAAAATAAAGTATTTAAAATTGTAGCACTTTTCGTAGTTGCGATCAATTATGACAACAGATTAATTAATAAATAAAATTTACCATTTTTATGAAAATTAACAACAATTTCAGTTTAAAATACATTTTTGTTTTGACGTTTCGATTTCTACTTCGTATTTTGAGAAAGATTTCCGAAATAGAAGTCGAAACGTCAAAATAAACATATTTTAAACTGAATTTGTGGTTAGTTCCTAATAAAATTAGTAATTAATATTAAAATGTCGCAAGAAAATAGCTTCAGAACAATAATAAAAAATAAAATGTCACAAAAATATCTTCAAAATAATGTTAAGAATTCTTGTGCTTACCCCGTAAGAATGATTGAAAACGCAATCAATAAACAACCTTGTTAAAATCACTTATAAAATACAATTGAGTATTTGGCACTTGAAAACAATTTAAACAACTTACGAATCAAACAACAGTTACATAAACTTATTCATTATAAAAATAAATAAAATAACTTTGTACCTTTGCTCGTGGAGGAAACCATTAATTGACGTTGTTAAATTAACCAATACAACAATACTAACGTACTTTTAACAAAACAAAAACATCGCTGATGCATATTTATTACCAGTCGCGCTTTTTCCGTATGATGATCACATAATTTTTAAATACAAGAGTGAAATCGTGACTTACCAGCTACGAAATACTACATTCCAATTAAAAATCCGTATTTACTACTGAAATCGACAAAGGTAAACGAGATAAGAGATAACTATTGTTTGCATTTAATAGATAAGACTGAACAGCGAACTCCAAACGTGCGAATTTGAGTGGAGGTGACGGATTAAGTAGTTTATGACTTGTCAGTGAAGTGAACAAATTGTGGAAAATGCCAAGTTTGAAGGACATATCTCCCGTGATTCCGAAAGTTGGTGCTATCGGCGAAAGTTCCTTACTCCAGAGGAGAGCTAATTCCAGGGAGCAATTGGATTACTCGTATCACAAGTATGACAGTTACGATGATGTTTCTTTGGGACCTAGTAGTCCACAGCTACCACCCAAACCGTTTTTCTTGGAGAAACCCAACAGGTATTTCTTCGCTGTATTCTCAAAAAAGCGCATGAGATCATTAGTTATTGTACTTTCAGGTATTTTAGAGTCACACTGCTTTTGCTTGTGAATATGTCCTTTGCGTACCTTAGTATGCCTTGCTAGGCAATAGCATAGGATTATTTTATAGGTCTATTTCACGCTTATTCAATTTTTACCAAATATTTTATTCCTTCTATAGATTTTTCGTTTTTTCTTCATATTTTCTAAATTAAGATGTTAATTTCCTTCCGTCCACTTTACTATTTTTCTGAAGCTATTTTCTTGTGGCATTTTAATGCAATTTACTATTTTTATTAGGAATAATCCACGTTTGTTTTGATTCCACTTTGCAAATCGTTCTTAAAATTCAAAACAATAATAAATTAAACAAATTTTTGTTTTTTTTTTGCTTAGCAAAAAATTCTTTTTTTATTTTAATTTTATTGGACTCATTCATATTGACAATACAGACATTTATTATAAATTTTACAGTAGGTATTTTGACGATATTTTTGAGTTGCATTCCTGGGACGACTTTATTAGAAATAGTTCATTCGATTACATGAAATCAACTTTAACTTAGAATACTTTAAAAAAACAACCAAATGCAGAGTTGACAGTAAAATTCTCTTGTTAGTGATCCTGTAGTAAATCTTCTTCTTCTTCGTTTTATGTAGACATGACTGACTGTTTTTCAATGTGCCTCCAGTAATTTGTCGTTCCATCATTTTCGTGGTCTTCCTACTGGTCGTTTTCTTATTGGGGAACCGTCTCTTACCGTCTTTACTACTCTATTTGTTGTCATTCGGCTTATATGATCGTTTCATTCTACTCTTCTATTTCTTACCCAGTACTTGATGTTCTCCACCTTGTATCTACGTCGTTTACGTGTAGTTTTAGCTCTGTCCCCTAGTGTCTTACCATCAATAAGTGTTTTCATCTGCTGTTTCTGACATCCTTTTTGTCTACTCTGTGTCAGGTCTTGTTTCTGCCGCGTATATCATTATTGGTCTGATGACTATTTTGTAAATTCTGCCTTTCATTTCTTTCCGGATATTTTTATTTCTCCATATTGTTGCATTCAGGCAACCTGCGACTCTGGTTTCTCTATTTACTTGATCTTCTTCAGTTTCGAACTTTCCGTAGCTAGATAATGTGATGCCTAGATTTTCTGGTAGTTATATTAAAATTGCTGCAGCATACATGATCGGTTTGAACAGTAGAGGACTTAGGGAATCTCACTGTCTTATCCCATTGTCCTTCAATAGGGTCGGTTAGTTCTTCTTCTACTGTTACTTTTATTGTGTTGTTTTGGTAGATATTTTGGATCCTTTTGATTATTCCTAGAGGTATCTGTCTTGCGTACGATAAGTGGATAACGTTCTTTAATTGTACCCGGTCAAATGCCTTCTTAAGGTAAACGAAACATAGATATGCCGGTTTGTTGTATTCTAATAATTTTTCTTTTACTTACCTTATTATAAATATAGCGTCGGTGCATGATCTTATATTGATCGGCTTAAAACGTTCTCCTACATCTTCCGATACCTAGTTGCTACTCCTCTCGATTCATCCATAAGTCTTCTTATATATATCTCTGTCTTTCATTTCTCTATTGATGCCTTCTCTCCAACTAAGGCTTGGTCTTCCTCTTTTTTTCTACCGGTAGGGGTTCACATTAACACTTGTTTTGGGAAACGTTCTTCAGACATTCTCTGTACATGGCCGTACCATCTTTGTTGGGTACCAATATCGTCTACTATTGTATGTTTTAGTTTCATAATTTCTCTTATTCTGTTGTTCGTTATTCTTTCTGGTCTAGATTTTCCAGCTGAACATCTCCACAAATCCATTTCCGTTGCCTCAAGTTTACTTTTAATGATTGTATTATATAACTTGTGCTTGTTATTATTAGAGATTGATTGATCCCAAAGGATACTATTGAGAAGGGAAATAGCTTTTCTTGCTTAGTTGTTTTTCTCCTCAATTGTGTCTGCCTTATTTTGTGATGATCATACCTAAATATTTATGTGTTGCAATATTTAATAACTTCTCCATCTTTCAATATGAGGTCCTGTTGTTTCCCACCGATACACACATACTCGGTTTTTTGGATATTGATTTCAAGTCCCCATTTTTTATACTCTTCGATTAATTTTCGAGTCATGTGTGATTAATTTCAAGTCATCGTGCTATCACTAGTTGATCATCTACAAATGACAAATTGTATATGCTATTGTTATTATTCGGCATTCCCACATTTCTACATTTGCGCTTCCGCAGTTTTAGAGCCTGTTCTACATAAATTTTAAATAATGTCGAGGAGAGACAGCAGCCCTGCTTAAGGCCTTTATACATTTGAAATCCACTTGATAGAGATTATTTCCAACCTTTACCTTTGAGTTAGCATTAGCATACAGTTCCTTCGTCGCATTTATTAAATTCATGCTTGTTTGTTTTCTCCAACGCTTCCCATAATTTATAATGTGGTACGCTATCATAAGCTTTTCGTAGGTCTACATACAATAAATGTACTTCTTGATTAATGGCTATTTTCTTTTCAATAATCTGTGTAATGCAAAACAAATGGTCAACAGTAGATCTACCTGCCCTAAATCCTGCTAAAGTCTTTATATTCGCTTTCTATTATGTTTTTAATTACTTTTCGGTATATTCTACCGACCGAGTTTGTCACGTCAATACCTCTATAATTGTCACATTCATCCCTTCTGCCTTTCTTGTGTATAGTCGATATGAATGATGTGTTCCACTTCTCTGGGGTTGTCATTCCATTAATGCAGTTTTGGAACAGTTTGACTAAACTTGTATATAGTTTGGTTGTACCCTGTTAAATTAACTCTGCAGGGATGTTACCTGGACCCGGTGCTTTGTTATTTTTTAGAGATCTACATACATCTTTCACTTCTTTCGTTGTTATTCGTATGAGCGAAGATAAAATATTTATATTTTGTGTTTCGTTGTTGTCTTTAAATTTTGGTCTATCTTCCCTTAGGAGTTTCTGAAAATATTGGTCCCAGTCATCCATTGTTATTGTTGACACTATGTCTCTCTTCTTATCTTGTCGTAAAGGTTTTAAGACACTCCAACTTTCTGTGCTTCTTCGTCCTCCTAGTTGTGAATTTATCATGTTACACTTTTGCTGCCATGCTTCATTTTTCTTTCGACATATCATTTTTCGTACTTTGGCTCGAGACTCCTTGTAGATTATTTTATCCGTTATATTCTTGTATTTAAAAATTTTTGATATTGGTTTCTTTTCTTCTTTATTTCTTGTTCTATTTCTTCGTCAAACCAATATGGGTAGTATCTGACCTAGAACATTCGTGAATGAGTATATATATTTACAGTTTTTATACGTCATAATATTTATTATTGTAACAATATTCTATCATAGATCTTTGTCCATGGGTGTTATCAAATGTATATTTGTGTTGGTCTTTGTGGCCAAAAAATGTTTTGTTTATTCTAAGTTCGTTATTCGTGTAGAAGTTTATCATCAGTTCTCCATTTTCGTTTTTACCATCCTCGTTATGTTTTTGCTTAATTCAATCTTAACAACAAACCGATAAATTTACGATGTAACATACTGTGCTAAACTTAGGGCACTACAGAGGTAATTTTCTATGAAGATTATTGTATATACAATAATCGGGGAACTACAGAGGTATTTTTCAATGAAGGTTATATTTATATATGTTCGGACGCGTGAGGCCCATTGGCGATATATTTGGAGTTCCATGTGTATTTTTTTTTTCATAATTTGCAGAGAAATTATCTTTTTATTAGTAAAAAAGGTATATAGAGTTTCAATGTTATTAATAAAAAATTACAAAGTTTGTGTTATACTTTCCTATGGCCTGACAGGCCTCACCCGTTCGCGCTGACTAAAATATTGACAATATCATTTTAAAGTCATCTACTTTAAATATAATATGTTTGTCAATACAAATGAGTGAGATAAAATTAAATTATTACAAGAATTTTTACCAATTAACAAAATAAAATTTGTTTAATTTATTAATGTTTTGTATTTTGAGAACGATTTCCGAAGTGAAAATCGAAACAACAAAATAAGCTTACTTTAAAGTTAAATTGTGGGTTATTCGCAATAAAAATAGTAAGTTGTCCTCTCTACTTTTATTATTTTTTATGTCCAATATTTTCTTTGTAGTTTCCTCTAGTTTGATTTTTAACTATATTGTGATACCTTTTTTTGTATGGTTTTTTGATTAAATAGTTTGTGATTGAATTAAAGGCTTAAAGCCTTTAAGACTGAAAAGGTTCCGTTTTAAATTTATTATTTTGCTCTTTTGTCCAATTGTCGGCTACGTCTATGTATAGCGTAGTACATTTATTCCACTTCTATTTCTTTGGATTTTTGTCGTAGTATTGATATTTTTACCATATATAAACTGATCTTGCTTCTCGACTTGTCTGGCAAATATTAAATGAAATTAGTCATCCTAAATCACACATCGTAAGTGGTGAAATGTAGCCGAAATCACGTGCCCATCATGAATTCTAGGAAATTTTGAATTCGATTATTGGTGGCGCGTAAGAAAACATGTTTTTATATATTTGTTTTAATTTTGTTTTCTCCTTTTATCTTTACTTGTTTACATTTTAATTGTAATTTTGTTATATTTATTTTATTAGTTACATCCGTCTTCATATATTGTATTTCTAATGGTTACATACGTCTATGCATTATTGTTAACATGTACACATAGTACAACTACTGTGGTGTTTTTTTATTTCCTGTTTCCTCTTTCCAGTCCGGTACTTGTACCAATCTGATGTCAGCTGTCATATCTTGTTAGATAGATGTCTAGCATGTTAACTAGAATAATAGAAATTTTGATGTCAAAAACAACTTTGAAATAGAATTAAACATCATTAAGCAAATAGCAGTAAACAATGGGTACAACGTACAAACAATAAATATAATTTTAATTCAAAAACTACATAAGAAAGCCCTGCAATTAGTATTTCCACCGCCAGAAAAAAAAACCCAGTACCTTCTGCTCGATTACATATACAGGCACAATATCAACAAAAATAGCCAAACACATAAAAAAGAATAACACCAGATTTTTGAACAAACAATAACTTAGCCAAATAAATTAAGTACAACAAGTGGCAAAGGAAAAAGCAAACTTAAATGTGGCGACTGCCCTAAAACTTACATCGGTCAAACTGGTAGAACTTTTAACAAACGTATAACAGAACATAAAAGGGCTTTCAATAATAGAAAAAGATTCTACGTACGCACTTCACCCTTTACCTACCTCAACTTATTTAGTTAAAGTGTTAAATGCATAACAGAAATAGCTGACTTGAGTAAGTCGCCCTGCCGAAACAGCTGTAGTGATAATAATTTATATAAAAAAAATGTAAAAGTGTTAAAAACAAAAGTTTTCAGTTTTTTGTTGTTAGATAACCTACAAACAACTTGTTGATTGTAGATATTCCCTTAATTTTTTAAAATAATATTTTTTTTGAAAACGTAATTTCCATTACCATTCATTACGGCTTAACCTCATATAAACATAATATTTAATTTGATATATGCTACAAGAAAACAGTTTCAGAACATTTTTAAATACATAAACCCTGGAAAGAAGATGTCCTTGTTGTACACATTTTTGAACTTTTGACGTAGTAGTATTATTTAGTCAAAACACTAGAAAGAAATTATTTTTAATAAACAGTTTTAATAAAATTGACTTTTGCATTGAAAGTTTTCTTAATTATTCACTTGTAACATGAGTAGAAAATAAATATATCGCCTTTTGTGATTAGTCATGACTTATTCATGTTTTAACCTAATATTTAATATATTTTCTAATAATTCTACATTTATTTATGCAAAAATGCAAATAATACGTTACTGTCAGATAATAATAAATGCTTATCATTGTTTTGTCATAATTTGCTTAATCACGGTAAGAAAACATATTTTACTATTCTTATCGTTATGAATTATGGCCAAAATCTATTTTAGTATGTATTTTAAGTAGTTTATTCCAGTTTTTTAGTTTGCTTCATTATTTTTAAAGATATTTACAGTTAGTTGCGATACACAGTTAGTCTACTGGAATAATTATCGTTATATCCCTTAGTATATTGTTAGAAATCAAACAATACTCCGTTTGAAAATGACGGATAGCACGGTTTTTAGCACAACTGATAATCCCCAACGCAATGTGATCAACCATAGAGACACAAATATCTCAGTCTATCTGTAAATCATCAGATTATAAATATAGTATAAGATTGTTTTAGCTTTTTTTTTCTGTACTAGCCTAGAATGAAATCACCTCACAATATTTTCCCACAAAACATACACAAATGCACTTGGATATCCTCTGAAGGAGGTGTTATGAACCAAATAGACCACGTCTTGATCATCGAGTTAGAATCTAGATTCTAACTCGATGGTCTTGATAGAAAAGCGATCAGCAACAAACATTTTGGACGTAAAAAAACTCATACCACCTACTAATTCGGCTACCCTTCAGATATAGGATCAAAAGACAGGCAAATGAGAATCAACCAAGAAAAGAAATTCTAGATCTGAGAAAACTCGAAAAGACCTGAAACTTAAAAGAAATTTGAAGAATAAATAAAGAAGAAGCTGACTGAACATGAAGGAAATTAAGAGAGGACACTCTTGTTAGACCTAATCAGTAGAACTACATTAAAGCCATCATAGATGGCGGCGCATGGCGTTTCAATTGTGACTGATTTCTGCTGAGGAGCACGTGAGAAGCGAAACTAATCAAAATTGTGTTTCGATACAAAAAATATTTTGTTTTTTGCATTATTTATTTATTATTTTATATTTCTTGAATTATCATTTTAGTTTGAAAGAATTTTGTTGTTTTAATTCCAAAAAATAAACACGTCAGAAAGCTTATTTTCATATTCTATTGAAATTACTTATTGTAATGTACTATAAAATATCACCTCAAAAATATGTTTTTTTTTATTCAAATAATATAAAGTACACATATTTTACAATACACACTTTTGAAGTTACAATAGTATAATAAATTAGAATTGTTTTTCTGATAGGTTTTACGAACAAAAGAATATCAAAACAAAACAAATAGCAAGTGGCTTCTACTATAGCAAATTTTTGCTATAGTAGAAGCCACAGTCAGAATGCAGTGCTGGTCTTAATGCGCGCAATGATGCCGCTCATGTTGGCACAATGTAGGTGTGTGGTAGTTTGGCGATAGACTGAGAAATCAGGACCGTCCGAGCTTCGTTTCAAAAATATTTACTTATCAATTTAACTGAGTTAAATAAGAGAATAAACAAAATAATTAATTCTATGATAAATGTCTGTATACATCGTAAACATATGTATATATATATATATATATATATATATATATATATATATATATATATATAATATATATATATATATATATATATATATATATATATATATATATATATAACCAAAAGGATGATAACGGGTACGAGTACTATGTATTGTGAACTATGGATACCATTTCTGCAACTATGTTTAATATATACATAGACAATACTTTCTTTGTGTTCAACCCAAGTTACTGAGTTACTTGCTAGAATTAGGGTAAGTGTTTTATAAATTTGTATACTTAGGTTCCACTTGATCATTGTTTGTTCTCTCGTTTGTTTGTAGTTTACTCTGATGATGTCAATAATCATTGACGAAAGCTTAGACCTTTAATTAAAAAGCACATCTAACGAAGCACCCTAGTTTTATTTTGCTTCCTCAGTTATAAAAGGGTACTTCCCAGTATTATCTCCTTTTCACTATATATATATATATATATATATATATATATATATATATATATAAACGAAGAATGATCACAGCTGTCCAATTATTAATTAGTATAATGGTAAGGTTAATTGGGTTAGCAGCTGAATAATGAAAGCCAAAGTGTGCTCTTTTCAACGACTTCGCTATATTTCGTTAAATTTCTTTAACATCTTCAGACGAATGCTACAATATGTTACAAAATGGTGAAATTGTGTATTTTACATAAGATGTAGTGAAACACTTACTTGTGTGAGGTTGCAGGCAAAAGTGGTATTTGAAAGTTCCATGTTGAAAAACTTTTTTGAAGATTTTTTTATAGCAAAAAAAATAAGTTGTATGTGTTATATGGTGGCTTGAAAACTCAAACAATACAAGTGCATTTTTGTTATTTTCCTCCAGTGTGATAGTACAATACAAATATTAAAAAACATTGAACATTTAAGAAACAAAACAGTTAAAACACAACTACATATCACATTGTCATTTTTCTGGCTGACATCTACTAATATGATAGCTGACAAGACACTTTAACCTTGAGGTACACACTAGATTTCCACCTCCTTGTGCATAGGTGAATAGACTGGTCCAAAAAAAATGACAATGTGATATGTAGTTGTGTTTTAACTGTTTTGTTTCTTAAATGTTCAATGTTTTTTAATATTTGTATTGTACTATCACACTGGAGGAAAATAACAAAAATGCACTTGTATTGTTTGAGTTTTCAAGCCACCATATAACACATACAACTTATTTTTTTGCTATAAAAAAATCTTCAAAAAAGTTTTTCAACATGGAACTTTCAAATACCACTTTTGCCTGCAACCTCACACAAGTAAGTGTTTCACTACATCTTATGTAAAATACACAATTTCACCATTTTGTAACATATTGTAGCATTCGTCTGAAGATGTTAAAGAAATTTAACGAAATATAGCGAAGTCGTTGAAAAGAGCACACTTTGGCTTTCATTATTCAGCTGCTAACCCAATTAACCTTACCATTATACTAATATATATATATATATATATATATATATATATATATATATATATATATATATATATATATATGAAACCTAGAGCTAAGATTAATACTATTACAATAATTAATATTAAACTCACCAGTCTTCCGGATTGAACCGCGTCGATATCCATTTTGCCGAGCTTTCGACATCCTCTCTGATGTCTTCCTCAGGGCTTCCGAGGTCTCAGTCTCCCGAGCCGCCAGACACTACTTCACTGATCACTGCACTATTACAGTGACAGTGATACGCCCAAACCGGAGTGGGGCAAACCGGCAACGTGGTCGGCCGTTCTCCCGTAAGAAATACATTGTAACTGTGTACAGTGTACTGCATTGTAACTGTGGCTTCTATTATAGTCTCATTATTTACTTTTATGAACTGCTTACTTCTCGACATAAAAGTAAACACTACCAACAAGGGGAAGGGTCCAGGACTGTACCAGCTCAATGTGCCCAAAGCGTGTCGGTACTGTATATATCTTCGATTCCTACATCTGGGATCCCGTGACCCTTCATTTGTTATTTCATTTTTATGTATATTATTATTTTGTGAACTTTAGCGATATATATTTGGAAAACAATTAGCATGGTAATTATAAAAAAAGTATTATTAAATTCACTACGACTATTTTCAATACTAGAAATCGTGTACATAATTTAAACTAATCTTGTTGAAACTCCTTGTATATTACCATCATTTCTCATAAAGAGAGTGATCAAAACATTATCGTTGAAATCCACCTGCTTAATAGGCATAAGTTGTTTTAGTTGGTCGATATAAAACACCTTAAAAAAAAAGGTTGCTAAAATGTGCAATCAGTATTCTTGTGAATTACAGGAAATTGTTAATACGATTATGGATACAATAAAGGATAGCTGCATGACATACAGATTGCCCTTTGAACAGAACTTAAAATGTGTTCATATTACTTAGATTTACCCACTTGTAAATGCAGTAATAGTTCAATATATATATATATATATATGATATATATAATATATATATATATATATAACAATATTTTCTATTAATATTACCTTATATAATTTTCAGGCTTACCAACATGTCGAGGGACAATATGATATGTTCCAAATGTGGAGATGGTTTTGAACCCGAAGAAAAAATCGTTAATTCTACGGGACAGTTGTGGCATCAGCATTGTTTTGTGTATGTATATTTCATTCTTTTGTTGTTGAGCGTCGAAAATGAAAAAAAAAAGAACAAATATCTAAACCATTAAAAGCCCGTTTGTATGCGGATGATCTAGTTGTCTATATCATTGGAAAAGCACCACAATTATGTCCTCGAACCACAACTGAAAATTTAATCGTTAAACACTTGTTTTTAGTTTTCAGTTTTAAAAACCACTACAATATTATTCTCAAAGGAAAAACTAGCTATTACTCCTAATATTTTCCTTTACAAGAAAATTGCAGCATTTTTTACTCGTATAAGTTTTTAATTTGCTTCTTACAAATATTCGAAAGAGAAACACTAGAATTGCGTCTCAAAGTCTTCGATAATAAACAAAATCCAATTATTTATTTACGGGGAAATGCCGCCAGCAGAATCTTAAGTTTTTTTTGGATATGGCTCTGGCAGGTGCTTCTAAAAAGTAAGTTCTGCGCATCGGAAGAGAGGGGTCGAAGCTTATGACAACTCACATCGTAGCAGGAAAAAAATAAGGAAAAGACTCGCGTTTTAGATCTTCAGGAAGTTAAGTGGAATTTCTTAATTTGGATCCTGAAATCGCCGTATCCTGAAAAAATCGTCTGTTATAGTTTCCTTATTTCTGTTTCATGTTTCTTATTGTATCGTGTCTTTTAATTCCATGGATTCCTACTTTAGTCCAGAACCAGTCCTGGGATTTAGTCCATCCACTTATTCAGTATTAGAGGGAGCGTAGATTGCCCTTGGAACCACAGTCAACACAAAATGGGACCAGTCAACAGAAATAAGATCACGAATTGAAAAAGCGCGAAACGCGTTCAACATTATGAAAAAGTGGTTCAGAAGCAAAATCTCAATGAAACTAAAATTAAGACTGGTCAAGTGTTATGTCTTCTCGGTCTTGTTCTATGGAGCAGAGGCATGGACCACAACGGAAGCCACCCAGAAGAAACTAGAATCCTTTGAGCTGTGGATATATCGCCGTATTCTTCGGATATCCTGGACAGACCACATCACTAACGTGGAAGTAATGCAGAGAATAGGCAAAAGCAAAGAAATAATCTTCACCGTAAAGAAACGGAAGCTTGAGCACTTCGGACATGTCATGAGGCATACTAAGTACCGGCTGCTACAGTTAATAGTCCAAGAAAGAATCGACAGTAGGAGGGGACCTGGAAGAAGACGACACTCATGGATGCATAACCTGCGACAATGGTTCGGACTAACATCGACCAAACTGTTCAGAGGTGCCGTAAACAAAGTCAAAATAGCCTTGTTAATAGCCAACGTCCGAAACGGATAGGGCAAAGGAAGAAGAAGAAGATTGCCCTTAAATTAATTTATTTTACTTCTGGTATTTCTGCTAAGTAATTGTGTTAAAAAAGGTATACACTTTGGCTTACACGCCCTCTTTTACACAAGTCTTTGAAAACGATTTCTGGAGTGAAAATAGAAACATAAAGTTTTTAGTTAAAAATATAATTTTCATTAAAATCAAATGTGGCCTAATTCCATATAAACAGAATATTTAAACTTTTTTCTTTGTTTATTATATCGGAAATAAATTTGATAATTTTTCAGATGCGCCCAGTGCTTCCGTCAGTTTGCAGATGGCGTCTTTTACGAATTCGATGGTCGCAAATACTGTGAGCATGACTTCCAAGTGCTTTTTGCACCATGTTGCAATCAATGTGGCGAATTTATAATTGGACGGGTAAGTTCTTAATTGGTAAATTTTTGAGAGATACAAAAAATAATAAAATCTCATACTTTTTTTAGGTCATCAAAGCCATGAATGCCAGCTGGCACCCAAAATGCTTCAAGTGTGAAATGTGCTCCTTGGAGCTGGCTGATACGGGCTTCATCAAAAATGGAGGCAGAGCTCTATGTCACGAGTGTAATGCCAAGGTTAAGGCTGGAGCATTAGGCAAATATATATGCAATAAGTGCCAGTAAGTATTTTGAATAAAAACCACAATTAAAAGATATTTGGAAGACAAATTTTAAATACAAGCAATATATTATAACTTTGATTTTTATTGACTAATAGTTACTTGTGAATATTTAACATTTTTTTTAAGAAACACTTAAGTTGTCTTTGTTTGCTTTAAAGGGTTAATTCAGTTTACTAATATGAATAGATAATAGTGGAACCATCTTTTCTGTAGTCATCAACAACAATCGAAAACCATGACATTCACCACGTGATATAATATTCAGTAAAATTCGAAAATGCATGAATCATTTAAAAAAAAAGTGTCTACTAACCTTTGATGTAAAGGGTGTTTTTAGAGGTATAGAAATGTAAGTTGGTAACACTTTTTTAACTGTCAGCCATTTTGACAGGTGTCAAGTAATTTATAGTTTGGTTTGGCATTTCAGCATGAATGCACTTGATGCCTGAACAAAGCTTCCCAATTTTTCGAATTTATTTTGAAAATTGGGGTTCTGTTTGAAATGCGTATGGCGTAATACGTCCATTTTATGGTCAACATAATAGTCCATCAGAGCAAGTAATTCGATTAGCCATGGAAAGTTTTTACACCACATTTACTCTAAATGATAATATGCATCCACAGGCGCATCGTACAGTGCGCACAGAAAAAGTTGATGTTGCTGTAGTGCGTAGCATACAGGAAACAAGGATCTACAGACCGAGAGTTTGGTACAAATTCCACGGCTTCGCGCAATCGTACTTGTAAGTTCGTGAACTAGTCGACTGGAGTTACAATTTGCCAAATTTAAATGTAATCGTTTCTACTCATTCATATTAATATTATAATGTATAATATATTAAAGTTTTTATTATTGGTAATATTATTTTAAAGCTTTTAATATTATTTTTTAATATTAAATATTATATAATTATATTATATTAAACGTGATTAATTATATTATATTAAAGATCGTGCGATTTAACACTGCTAGACTATTTGATGTGGGTATATGTGAAGGTGCTAGTCTACGCGGATAAACATGAAACGATTGACCACTTGGAGGACAACATTCTTCGCATTATTGGCGATATACGGCCACAAATATTAGAAAGAGTGATCCAAAATTAAAGCTCTAGATTAGACTACGTCAGAGCCAGCCATGACGGCCATATGCCAGAAATTATATTTAAATTATAATGCCAAAAGATTATCTTTCGCATAAAGTCAATGTCATGTCAATTTATAAAGATCGTCTTTGTTTTATTTCATTTTAAAGTTTTATACCTCTAAAAAAACACCCTTTATAACCGGGGTAAATATAGAGTACTCAATAAAATTTGCCTACTGTCTGTTCATTTCTTGAACTTCCAAACCTTTACAACATTTTTCTCATCATAAAGTTGCACTGTATCATTATTATCACAAAATAAAAATGTAAATATTTTGTTTACTTTTAGTGCTATTATCGATGATCAACCCTTGAAGTTTAGAGGTGAGGTGTACCATGCCTATCACTTCAATTGTTCTGCATGTGGTGTTGAACTGGACAGCAGTGCTAGAGAGGTAAGAGTATGTCAATGTTACAAATAAAACATTCATAGCACTTCAACTTAGAGTTGAATCATAATGTGTAAAGTAAATAGGAAAGTTATAGCTCAGAGGTGAAACTCGGTTCATATGTTTGTATATTTTTAGGTTAGAAACAGATCTGGATTTGCTAAGAACGAAATGAACGAACTGTATTGCTTGAGATGCCACGATAAGATGGGTATTCCAATCTGTGGAGCCTGTAGAAGACCTATCGAAGAACGTGTCGTTACTGCTCTTGGAAAACATTGGCATGTTGAGGTATAACTGAATATTCTGAATGAAGTTATTTTTAAGTCTATTATTATTTTCTATTTGTAGCATTTTGTTTGTGCTAAATGCGAGAAACCGTTCTTTGGTCATCGTCATTATGAGAAGAAAGGTTTGGCTTATTGTGAAACTCACTACCATCAACTGTTTGGGAATCTGTGCCATGTATGTAACCAAGTTATCGCTGGAGATGGTAAGTAAATCTCTATTAAAAACTGTGGTTTTTAATATCAATATTTATTTAAAATTATAATAATGACTTAAGAATAAAACAAGGAATTATAAACTCAGATATTGCTGCATAAGATTAATCCAAAGATTGTGTAATAAAAATTGGAGCATTATCCAATAAAATTAATAAAAACTATAAAAGCTATATGATTTAATGTGACTTCTGTGTAATTTATTAAATTTATCATGGATCATGTTATTAATTCATAAAACGTATTAAATATATTCATAAATCTTCATGATTTATGAAAATATCACAGAACAAGTAAGACAAATGTTGATATCTGTTTGGATTCCGTAATGATCTTGAGACCATTGAGAACTCTTTTACTGTAGCAAGCCAGGAATCAACAAAAAAAAATGGTGCAAATAAGTTTTGCAAATGAATGACTTGAAAAATTAAGCAAGCAGTGATACAAGGTTGCGTTTTGTGGCCTCTGCTCTTTAATTTATACTTACAAGACGACTTAATTTTAGGTATGAACTAGCACACAGTCACAAATAACCAATAATGTCCAAGGAAACTTGGATCTTCAGTTCACCATCACACAAAAGAAAAATAAAGAATTTTTAATGTTATTACTACTAATTAAGTTGATATATACATTTTACCAGTTATTATTGTAACTTGAATAATTTTATTTAATATATTCATCTCTAAATTCCCATTGGGATCTTGAGGTTTGCTGTAACGCAACAACAATATCTAGTTCACGTTTATTATCATTGATATCAGGTTTGGATTTATTTTATAAGAATGAATTTGGCCACCAGTTATTCCCTACAACTTTTTTTTATATTGAACCTTATGCATAAAATGTAAAAAATGTTACCATGTTTTAACCAATTGTTTGCTTGCTCCCTCAATGTTGTGGTTCATAGTATTCTGTAATGTCAATTATAAAAAAAATTGGTACTAGTATGGCATAAGGTTATGAGCTCTATCTCAAATGTATATCAATGGATTTTGCTTCAGTTAGTGATTTATATACAATTTCCATTTAAAAATGAGATTATTTTTCACAATGCTACATAGCATTGGCAGCGTTGGCATTTTTCTTTTATGCTCAATACAGATAACTCCATGTTGCCATAGTTATACAAAATATAGTTTTGAGTAACTATTTCAACAACATAGTTTATTATATTAATAATGTAATTTATTATATTTAATAATTTTTACACCTGTTTTGTTGACATAAAACTTGTTTTGCGACAATTTTTGTGAAACATTTACACTTTTATATTCCATAAGCGACCGAGTTGGTGATAAGCTATGGTTGTATTAAATTGAACTAGGTTGTTATACTAGCAAGCCAAGAGAGGGCTATTGGTGACGGGAGCATAGGTATGCTTTTGTTAGGTTAGCTTTTCGATCGTTGGAGTAGGGGCTATCAACGTGGAGTTATCAGCGAACCAAACAGAAAGAAGAGGTGGAGATAGAACGGACTGGCTAGCGTTTGACGAGTATTCTAGATGGTTGATAGAGAGGAGAAGATGCCAACCGGCATCGGTAGAAGGACTTGAATCAATAATAAGAGAGACTATGAGAAATTGCATAAACGGGGTAGATGAAAAAAGAAAAATGCCTTAGTGGTGGTGCGAAGAGATCGCCATTAAGATGAAGGAATGCATTGCCATTAGAAGACAGGCTACGAGGGCAAGAGGTAGAGGAGAAATAACCGAAGCTAGCAGAATGGATATGGTATACAACATGCTAAAGAAGGAACTGAACAGGAAGATCCGAGCCGAGAAGAAGAGGCACTGGAGAGAACTGTGTGACAAGTTGGATGAGGACGTTTGGGGTCAGGGATACAAAATCGTAATGAACCAGTTCAAGTTGTACCTTCTATACGAGATGCGACTGGACAGGAAGCTTGAGGTTAACCGAGAGCTGTTTCCACCCGGATTTGCGAACGACCTCGTTATGCTGGTAGTGGCGCTGGACAGGGAGGACCTTATCTTTAGTGCACAGCGTACATGCAACGAAGTCGAGGAATGGATGAAAATTCTTGAGCTAGAACTGACTGCTGGTAACACCGAGGCTATAATTCTCAAGGGACCAAGGAAAAGGGACGGGATAACATTCGAATGTGCAGGAAAGAGAGTGGTTCCAAAGAAATGTGTGAGGTATTTAGGGGTGACTCTGAGTCAAAGTCTGAGTGCCTGAGTGTCTACGCTGCGCCTGTCTGGAGTTCTGCAGTTTTAACAAAGGCATACAGAAATCAGCTCACCCGAGCAGATAGGAAAAGTCTATTGAGGGTGGCATGTGCATACAGAACAGTCTCTGCCGAGGCATTAGGAGTTATCACCGGGTGTATTCCGATGCACGTGCTAGTGAAGAAAAGAGGAAGAATATACTAGAGAAGAAATGAATATATAGCAACAGAACGTTTAAAAAAAGAAGAAAGGGAGAGGTACATAATGGTGTGACAAGAGGATTGGGACGAGATGAGAAGAGTGGCGCAGTGAGTGAAGTCGTTGATTCCTAATCTGAGAAGATGGATGGATTGGATTACTTCCTGACGCAGATGCTCCCAGGACATAGTTGCCTCATGGTATACTTTTACAGATTTGGAAAGGCAGAAAATGACCAATGCCTATATTGTGAAATATCGGACACTATCTCACGCACTCTATTGGTATGCGATAGATTGATAGGTGAGAGGAGACTGCTTGAGGGAGAGCTAGGAAGTAGGATGCAATCAGTCACGGAACTGGTGTAGGAGATGCTTAGGTCGTCAGATCGGTGTAGAGCAGTTCAGAGATGTGAGGAGAACATTGGAAAAAAAGGAACAAGAAGAAAGGCGACCCGAAGGGAGGCAAGTGCCCAGGACGAAGCAAGAAGATAAGGCAGAATGAGAAGGGGTGAGAATGAACATGAAGAGGGAGAGAAGAATTCAGTCGTAGTGAGAAAGTGCTAGAATGCATAAGAATTGTACGTGAATGAAAGATCGGGTGAATGCCGTGCCGGTGTTGCGTCCCAATCAGGGCGATCCGGCTGGTAATTCTTCGCGGAGGAGGGTGTTGTTTTGCAGGTAAGTCTCTGGCATTGACGGCGATGGTGTCCGAACAACCCTAGCGCATGGCCACGATGATATCCGTGGAGGAGTCCTGCATAACCGAGGCTGGAAGGCGGTTCTGCCCACCTTCTAGGATCGAGGTATTTTTCGAATATTTGGACAGCTCCCCCCCTCATAAAATAAGAGAAAAAAAGGTTAGGTTAGGTTAGGTTATGCAAGCCAGCGAAGCGAACGAGAATAGGTGACTGAGGTTGGATAAGATTTGGTTAGAAGGTGAGAGAACTAAGCGAGTGACATTACTTTAGATTAGTTTAGGTTAATTCGTTGCAAGTTGTTAGGATTGTTTTCAAGCCTCATATTTTTGGGAGCAATTTGTGATCTCTTCTTGTTGTTGATGAATGATGTTATATGTAAGGAACTGATCAGATACAAACCATGACGCATAAGACTTTAATTGAAACCTCTCCAAACTACATTAGACCTGATCGCTGATCCCCACAGGCGGATCCCATAACGCCATATTGGTTTTATGACTGATTTATATACTAATACCTTGTTTTGTGGAGATGTATAGATCGTTGTGATCTTTTATCTAGTATCCAGTAAAGTCCGCTAAAAGTTCAATGCGACCAATTTGTGTCAATGATGTTAAAGTCTTTTAACATTATTGCCACAAATTGGTCTCATTGCTCCTGTAGTGATCCTTTCCCTTGTTAACATGCTCCTTTTCTAACTTGGCTGCACCGTACTGAAGACGACCATTGGTCAGAAATACGTATATACGGTTCCAACTTATTTTATTATATTTTTTCCTTTGTTGCGAGCTATGCCGGTACTTATTAACTTTATATATATATATATATTATATATATATATATATATATATATATATATATATATATACAAATAACACAGTTTATTAGGGTTGCAGTCAGAATATTGGCCGGGATGTTAAAAACACACACAACATGTACCTGTACATAAATTACACCTCTATGTATAATATGTTGCATACCATTAAGACAGGTTTAAAAAGCATAGTTCAAAGATAACATCAATTACACCTAATTACATATTAATTACAGTGTTTACTTTCCATTCTCTGCATGAGTTAATATACACAAGTAAAACATGCTATCAACCAAGTTTTACCTACTATTTTTACAATAAATTTTAAAAATTTTATAATGTATTCTGTCCATAATTGTATATTTTAATGTTTTAATGTGTGTTATAAATGTTGAGTGTAAATGCTTATATAAATACTCTCAACGACTAGTAAGTTACACTGAAGAATTGTGATATTTTTTAAATATTTACATTTTTGTCTTATTACAGTGTCTTGAAAAAGGAATAAAACCATTCCGAAAGCTCGACAAAAAAGTCAAAAGAGTGTTTTTTTAACATCCCGGCCAATATTCTGACTGCAACCCTAATAAACTGTGTTATTTGTTTATATCGACAGTCAGTAATATCCAGTATTTCTTATATATATATATATATATATATATATATATATATATATATATAATATATATATATATATATATTATATGTATTTGAGTGTCTTTTGAAATTTTTGTATTATCCCCTTTTATTATTTTCAGTGTTTACTGCCATGAATAAAGCCTGGTGCGTCCACCACTTCGCCTGCTCGGTGTGCGATCAGAAAATGAACCAAAAGACGAAATTCTACGAATACGATTTGAAGCCGGTATGCAAGAGATGCTATGAGAAGTTCCCAACTGAGTTACGAAAGCGTCTAAGACGACAACATGAAGCTACGCCAAGGAAACCTGGTACACCGGTACCAACTTAAACAGGCCTGCAGTTTGATTGAAAGGAACGATAAACAAAAAAAAGGTTATAAAAATTAAAATTGTTTCAACAAAATAAGTCAGATATATTTTCGCGGTTGATAAGTTTGTAAAAATAGAAAGTTTTACAATTTTCACAAAATTTAATAACATAAATATTAAACCACTGTTACTATCTTGGATTTTTGTTTATTAGTAGGTATGGAGAAGGGAAGATCCTAACCTGGGTATTAATAGCCACTTATACTTCTTAAGAAACGTCTGTGACTAGATATAAATAAAATCATGTCTGTTTTTATAATGATCTAAAGCTTAGATCTAATATATGTATATATTTATTCCATTTAGACGTCATAATGATCACCATTTATGGAACAAATTGGATCACTAAAAACTCTTAAATTGGATCACTAAAAAGTTTTGTGAAAATGTGTAACTCTTTTATTGAATTTTAATTTAAACATTTAATTCAAGTAAAATGAAAGCGTAGTGTACTCTTTCTAAATTCTCCTTATAGTACACTGATGGATAAAAAACGGTAACCCTGACATATTTCAAAAACAACGCTTAAATATTCATAATTTCTTATTAAAAAAGTGGTTGATTAAAGAATCGTTTATTAATGATATAAAATGCAAATACTAATTACGAAAGAGTTATAATTCAGTAAAAAAAATAATCAAAAATCATTTTTCTGTGTGAATTTTTATTTTGCAAGCAAAATTGTGGATCGCAGTCAAATCGATCGTTTATTGCAAGGTAAGATTTTCATTTTAAAGAAGAGGAAGGTGAGTCTCGAGCTTTTAAGAAATCAAACAGCTTTTGGATGTTCCACGACTAAATTTATATGTCAAAAGATCAAAAGTAAACCGAAAGTCTACGAAAATTTTCACCGGAAGTTAACCAAGACAAGTTTATAGACCTATGTTTGCACGCTGATTATGAATCCGTTGTCAAAATAAGTGTATCTAACTTCGTTTGCAAGTTATACCGTTTTTATTAATTTTCTCAAAACCGGAAATGGCTATTTCCGTTTCGACAATTTTTGGCGTGATAACGTTAAGTGCTGAATCAGAACAAGTCGTCAATTTTCCCTATCTATTACAGTTTTTTCAATCTAATACTGGATAGAAGTAGATGGGTATCACTTGGGTACACTTCAGCCCATTTAACACGCCGCCTCACCACAACATCTACCGCACGCAACCGCAACCCCTACCACACGCAATCGCAACCCCTATACAACGTTTTATGCATCGTTCGACGTTTTTTGTGACGTTTTATATTAAACGACATTAATTTTTACCATCTATTTTTCCAAATTCTTCTTGAAGTTGGGTTAGGTTCTACAATAACTCTTGAAAAATTGCTGGCATAGCTGAACAACGATAATTGTACCTCTGAAGCTGATCCCACAGGTGCTTAATTGGATTAAGATCCCTGCTGCACGCCGGCTAATCAAGTCTGCTAATGCTAAAGCATCAATTTCCGCAAATAAAACGTCGTACTTCCTATGTGATTCCATAGAAATACCTTCCCACGACATAACAGAAGCACAATTGAAAGATATCCATTCGGAGATATACAATCGAAATATCGTTTCACTCCTCGTCTCCATACTCTTTTGAGGAAATTTGAGGAACGCAGACAAAAATGTGACTCGTGAGTAAAAAGATCTTTGCTCCATTGCGGCGTAAACTGCAGATAACTTTTCGACAACTAAGCAGGAACTTTGATCTGTGGCGGACCTTCTCAAGTTTAAATTATTTTTGGCAAATTTGCTTTTCTAATTGTTTTCTCAGTTGTTTCAACTCCTCGGACTGTTAGGACACTTCTATCTTAGCATACACGCGATGACTAAAAATATTCATAATGTCCTGCCATTTGATTTATAGGATTGTTCTTAAAACAGCAGTTTGGCTGCTAAAATTAACGTACCATCGATAGTATTTTAAAATATTAATAATCAAAAAAGCAAACAAATTCCACATTAAGAGAAAATGCAGGTCGGTAGGAAATATTTCAGAGTAATCAGTTTTTTTTCTGTTAGTTTAACTTACATTACAGGACTATTCGTTTATCGCCTAAAATTTGCGTTAGGATTGTCCTGATAATTCACAGTAACTAAATGTGTTTCATCTCATGCGCATGACCATGACGGTCCTCGGTGATAAACGAATATACTGTTCGTTGCAAGATATTTCGGATTTAATCCTCTAGGTATAGTTGTATACAGGGTCGAACTTATATACTAATACATTTTATCAAAATTACGGAAGTAATTACAAAAATTATTCACTGAATACATATGATATATGGTGTCCCGTATAGCTGATATAAGTACACAAAATTATGCTTAAAATTTTTTACTCAAAATTGAAATACGTACATGGCTAAACCTACTTTGTATCATTTAGTAAAGTACTGTAGCGTGATTAAATAAAACGAGCAGTTCGAATTTATATACATATATTTATTTATAAGTTTACAGTTCGGTAATATCTTAACAACTCACCTAACATCGTCACATATATATATGTAACTAAGATATTATTCTCTAATCTTCCGGGGTAGTCCCACCTCTAATTCGTTGTTTGACAAATGGCGCTCATACATCGCGAAGGTTCTCGAAGCCCGAGATGCTACCGTTACACGGGCAACGCTGAATACATGTTCGTAACATTGGATAGCATTTAAAATTGAACCTAATGTAACGAAAAACTAAGAGTGACTTAACGTTACAGCATTAAGGTAGTGTAGTCATTTTGTGCTTGATATCGGCCCAGTCTCTTAGCCTGAGGAATTCCATCCGAATTATCTTGCAACCGATATAGGCTATCTAAACATTTTAGTCAACGATTTTAAATAATCATTTTTTCATAATATTTGTCATTACATTTTACAAGTTTTGTCATGTAAAAATGCTAATATGTCAGCGAATAATAGTATTAGTGAGAATTATGATGAATTTAACAGTTTTAATTTTTGTTTGATTGTCGCTTGTAAAGTTATTTGCTATTATTATGTACATTATTTTAAATTTGGGGCGATAAAAACCAAAGTGGTTTAAGTCACATGCATATAAGTTGGAAAAAATATTTATTTTTCCCAAAAATGCTGACAATTGTTGGATTGGAGAAAATATAAGTGGCATATAGAGGCATAAGTGGCATATGGTATAGAGGTTGAAAATAAATAAAATAGATATCTTTTCTCTTATGTAATTCACATAATAAATTGGGAGAAGATTAGAAAAAAGGTTTCCTTTTAAAATACACTAATTCTGATCTTTGAAAATTTACTCTTGCTAAAATGTTAAATATTAATATTTTACAAAGAGAAATTATTTAACCATGAAAATTGTTTTTCCTCAGTATCCATTTTCATCGCTTGGTTGTTCTTTTCTTAGATCTTCGAACCGATCAACAAAAATGGAATATGGAAATTCATAAATAACTACAAATATTACACAGTCTTCAAAGAAACAAGTAGGTACCTCACAATTCTTTAGGCACCATAGACTTTGGATGATAATATAGTGAGGATGGATGATGACAGATTGCCAAGAAATTGGACTATAGAGCCATTGGAAGAAAATGAAGAGAAAAATCGTTTTTTTATGCTAAATTACAATTTGCTCCACATTTCGCACACGTAAACTTATCCGAAATTTTTCCATAAATGTGGAGGATTTAATATTTCATTTCATTTTTAAAAAAGAGATGAACCTAACCTAAATCAACAGCGGTGCCAGCCCTAATCAAATTTTAAAACTTATTTATCTCGGAGGTCAGTTGTAGAATATTCCTTTGTATATAGTGTTCTACTTTCGTAATAAGCTTATACCTATTTTATCTTCAAAGTCTTATTGTGTATTCCAGGTTTTCATCTTTTTCTTGGACATCCTGTACTTCTTCGGCTGTTGATATTTTTACTAGTCTATCCCTTCCTATTCTACGTATACACTTGTATCATTTTAGCTAAAATTAGATTATGCTGCCATCTATAAGATACACGCCAAAACTGTGATTTTAGCTTTGTGTTTAAATTTCTGCTTTGATCTTAAAAATTCACCACTTTAGCTTTTGTCGCCTCATTCACCACTGCCATAACTACTTTATTGATGTATTTTTTATTAACTAAATAAGAGCTCGTGTATTCTTTATTAATACATGGTTGAAATCATATGGAAAACGATTATTAACGTTTTGTTATCATGTATTAAAGATTCGGCATGTTTAAAGCAAAGTAAACTACTGAAGTATCCAGTTATAGTGTTGATATTGTTTAGATTTAAAAAAATGGAGATCTTTCATACAATATAGCTTCCATATAATTCCAACTTACGTGAACACACTGTATAATTTTTTAGAAATTATTTGCTCTCCTGTATATAGTGTTATTACAGATATTTAATTTTTATTTAATATTTTGTTACTTATATTATTAACAACAATCTTCTGGAAAGATTGAATGAATTGTATGTACAATCATTAAGTTAGGTTTCTTTTTTAACGGTGTCAAATGCCAAACTTTTGGCCACTTTTTTTAAATATAGCTTCTGAAAATAGAAATTGACATGCAAGTGAATGGGTTGGGCTAGGTTATGTTTGATTGTTTTTTTTTTATTATAATATGATTAAGACATCTTCGTAAATGGTCGACAATTTCCTATTTTCTTCAGCTTAATATATTACTAAACAGTAATAGTTATTGGGACAAAAGTTTAGTATCTGAACACTGAAGAGTTTCATTAACTTTTATAGTCTTAGCATCTAAAATATTTGAACGCCTAACATTATCTTTTTAAGTGCTTATGTGAACATATTATATTTAAGAAAATTGCTACGAGCAATAGTGTCAGTGCCCCAGCGTTATGAGATGAGCCAATGTATACACATCGACTAATAGAAATATTTTAAATTTGAATGTGTAACATTAAAGTTAGTTTTAAATATTTATTTAGTACCTTACATATAATATTTGTCTGTTTTAACGTTTT